AACCATTAAGCATGCATTTCCGTGCGACGCTTTTGGTTGCTGTCTTTTGACTGCCCATTTGGGTGAATAATAGGAGGAAAACAGGAAAGGTCGAAGAGAAAATTGAAGAGTTCAGTGGACTACTGATGCGGAGAAATTGAGGAGATGCACAAACGCTACTGTTTGCGATACCCAGCCATTTCACTCAGTGTCTCTAATCATCGGTTACGACCATCCCGAGGTCCCCAGCCAGGGANGTTTTCATACCCTCATGCCATGCCTTAGCTTGGCCACCCTGGGCTTTATTCCACCCACTACCTGCCTCGGCAAACATTACTCGCCGTGGCAACTTATTTGGCGACATGCGTAACACGTCCTAACCAACGTAATCTATGGTGGTCGACCGTTTGTTCCAGTGGGCTACAGCGGCTGCCTAAAACTTGGCACCTGACCTCAGCGTTGCTCGTCCGGGTGCCCCACCAGATTCATGCAATGCTGCGTAGACAGCGACGTTCAAACACCGGCAGTCTATCTTTATCCTGCAGTCTCCGTGGCCACGTTTCTGCTTCATCTAGCAGAACTGGCCTAACTACTGCAGCATTCACTCTACCCTTAACAGACAGCCGGATGTCGTGACGGCGCCACAGATGTCTCAAGTTAGCAAATGCCAACCGAGCCTTCTGTATGCGAGCGGACAGTACCATAAACGGAACGTCATGGTCGATTGCTGGCATTAACTAGCTTACCGACAGCCAAAGTACGCTATACGCAGTGTGGGAAGCTATAAACATCGGGCCACAACACAGTGTGGACAGTCGATNAACCACATATCGGCCTATGCATACTAAATATACTGAACCGACCCACTTTTGTGTCCCCTATCGCAATGTTTAGTTCTGCCGAAACTTAACATAATCTAATATCGGGTTAGGTTGGTCCGATATCTGACTATATCGACGAAGAGGGTTCTTTTTATTCAACCATTTTGCCCCTATCATTTGTTACATAGTTTAAACTAAAGGTATTTTTTGATTCTTTGTTTTCCCGATAGGAATGGAACAACACTGTAATATTACTTTTATAATTACCCTAAATATAAATTAAATAAATAAATAAACTGTCCGTACTTATAAACTTATTTCAGAGAAGGAACGGACTATGCTCCCGGAGATGTACTTCAAGGACATGACAATTATGTTACCGCACTCGCTGTTTACACACCCCAGGATCCCGTGGACCACTTAATCTACACCGGCTCCAATGACAAACTTATTCGAGCTTTTTCATTCGGCCATGGAAGTCCCAAGTTCGTCCTTAAGGGTCATTCGGACACAGGTTTGTTGCGGATTTGTTTGTTCTATGTGGTTGTTTAGTTTGTGGAATCAGCGTGGACAAGTTCAATACACTAGTTAGTGTATCGTGGGACAAGACCGCGAAAGTTTGGAAGAATGGAAAGTGCTTATCTACGATTAAAGGTGAGAGTATAGTTTTGTGTATTTATAGACCGGTAATCACTTCCTGCTTGATAGCTTTTAAAGTGTTATAAAGTTTCTGGCACTTCACTCCGTCGGTAACCTTAAGCGCGTGATTATTGGTTGTAACCATTTGTACCTAGCTAGAATTTTTTATGTGAGTTTTGTTCAGGGTCACTAAATGTTTTGATTCCTTAATCACTGTTAATATTCTTCCGAGACTTGATCTTGTCAAGTAAACTCCTTTTAAAACAGGTCACGAATCCGCCGTGTGGTGTGTGCTTTATATCGCCGGCTCAGAGTTGGAGTTTGAAATCGCGACGGGATCCGCAGATCGTTCAATCCGCCTCTGGAAAGTCGTCTTATCCCCTGACCATTCAGAGGCCAGTTTTTCTTTGGTTCGTTCCTTCCTGGGCCACGCTGATTGCGTTCGAAGTTTGGCGGCTCTGGACCAGCATCGATTTCTCTCTGCCAGTAATGATGCCAGTATCCGTGCCTGGGATTTGCGAACAGGCACTTGTGTCGGGGAGTTTTACGGACACACAAATTTTGTGTATAACGTAGCCACCCAAGTCGGTGTACCGGTGTTTGTCTCCTCCGGAGAAGATCGTAGTGTGCGCGTGTGGTCTATACCAGGAGAGCAGGAGTGGGCCGAAGGTAGACAGTTCAATGCTCTACAATCCATCCCACTCCCTTGTCAATCTGCTTGGTGTGTGACTTTGTCATCGAAGGGTGATATCATAGTGGGTGGCAGGTAAGCTTGATCTACAGTGCAGCGTAATTTCCTCTGCTACTTCAAATAACCCATCCTGGCACCTGAGTAAAAGTAATATACGAGTATGTTTAATAGAATAAATAAAAAAATAAATGGAAAGTGGAATTGCGAAATGCAAAAAAACAACAAATCTTTTCACACCGTTCCACTTAGTATGTAGGGCCCACTTTTCTATACTTTAATCCCTAATAGTTTCTGTTCGCAAAACAGCTGGAATTCGCCTAGTATCCTCCCTAGCGGAGCGATTGAAGTATGGTCCGATTGCTGTTTTCATCAATGCGCCACAGCTATGCTGCCTATCACCAACTTTGGGTGGTGGTGGTGGGGCACGAACCTCGGACCATAGGGTCCAAAACACATCAGTGACAGCGACCACAATACTGCGCCACCACCACCTTTTCATTATTGACTCTCAGTCGTTGACATTCTACACGCAATAATATTGTGTCCATTAATCGTACAACCAAAGTTAGTCACAAAAATCTCACTGAACGATCAAATCCATATCTGTTTTCTATCGAAGCACCAGTTCCTCATACTTCATAAAGCACGATATATAGATTTTCGGTTACACATAATGTGAGTTATAGTAACAGAAGAAATCCGCATAGACAACCAACACACTGTAAAATGGAGTAGGAGAACATTCACGTAAGATCCAGCGTATTTATTCTGCTTTTAAAGAGTGTAGGGTTATGAGGTAGGGAAAGACGGGAAGTGGGGAGGGTGTTCCGCAACTTGGCAGATCCGGGGGCGGGACGAGATTGGAGCTGAGAAGTACAACATCTAGGAACTAAAATCCGATAAGGATGACTAGATACCTGTGCACGAGATGAGCGAGTAAACGTTGCAGGAAGAGGAACTGCCGAGGCAAGTTCCGAAGAACAAAAACCAAAGTAATAACGGTAGAGCAGGAATAATGAAGCAACTGCTCGATGATGGGCTAGTGATTGCAGACCGGATTTTAGAAAAAAGATCATCGATTAGCCGAATGGCCTTTCGTTGAACACGATCAAAAAGGGAAAGAGTTGAAGATAAGCCCCACCCCACATATGACTTCAGTATTCAAAGGCACGCAAATTACAATAGAGTGATGCCATCGGTGGAATGTTGGAGCTTCGTTGAAACGAAGTGCCACTTCGCCGTCCGTCGAGACTTGTTTTCTAACTAAGTCTCCGTAGCACTTGGAAACATAGTTTACTTTTTGTTTCCCCAATTAATTTTCATTAGTGGTTTGGGCTAAGTTATTTATCCGTTTTGATTGACAATCGTTTACGCTTCATCCTTGCAGACAACTTTCATTCCACCTAGTCAACTTTATAATAGTATTTCAGTTTTGATTGCACCAGAGGTCGTCAGCAATGCGTATCCACTAACCAATCCAGGGTTTGAACTCCCTATCTCTCACTTAAAGAGCGTGTCTGTGACGCTTGTGCTGACCAGCTAATGACCTAAATAATCAGGATCACCGATTTGTTCGATTGTACCATTCAGTGACGATCAGTCAGGTCAGATATCAACGAATGAGGATAGTTGGACCTGTTTGAACTAAGGGAATACATTCCACCGGATCGGGCTTTTCACGCTAGCATTTGCAAATATTTGGATACAAATTGAAAATTCAGTTTAAAAGGTTGTGAAATTGTGAGTAGACACACACCATGCACATCACATTGCTAATATATTTGTTTAAAATCGGAACGTAGCTACACCAGTTTGGTTTGCTTTATCCGATCTATGATGTTGACATGCAATGGACAACTTCATTTACTGAACTCCAAAGTATTTTCATGAAACCTGTGAATATTTCACATACCTATGATGCGATAGTATCATCTTTTTTGCTTTCGTTTTCGTGTTGGATGGCTTTACCGTCACGCGGCTCACTACCATTTTTGCCGTACTGGACTTGATTGAATCGCTACTGTAAACCTCAGGACTTTGCTTCCTGTTTCATTCAATCCTTCTGCTTATAGAGTTCATTCCCAAGACAATTTGACGTAAATTAATCTACTAGCAGTCGGAAACAGCTTTCAGCTTATCATAGAATGTTCGATGTTTCAGTACGGGTCAACAGCTATAGAACGAAGCGTCGATGCTTTTTCGTCGTATCGGTACGCACCGATGGGTTGCAGTTCTGAGATTGATGACCCTGGATTTCTCTTATCAGTTTGACCTATAAGACTTTGTTGCGTCATCGGTTGTACCAACCACGTGGGAATGTTTGCAGACATCTGCTGTGCCAGGGGCCGATCCGTTCTGTCGATGTAAGACACCGCTTGATCCCGTCTGCGACGTACCAAAGAAGAGCGTCTTCCTCAGACTCGCCTTTAAAGATGATCACATAATGAACGCCGTGCGTCAAAAGCTCAAGGCGGTATAGTGTCGAACGCTTCCTGCCGCACAGCTTCGATTGATATCGTATACCCAAGGATTTCGTTTAGACAATGGAAAACGGAACCAACCGAACAATTCTGCTTCACATATCGTCTACCAGTTCACCTGCTGTTGTGGTGACTTACATCGGCACAA